CCTGGGCAAATGTATTTACAGCATCCCAGGTAGCTCCTGTAGATAGAACTGTAGTAACAGCACCCAAACACATCAGGTAGCTCCTGCAGATACAACTGCAGTAACAGCACCCAAACACATCAGGTAGCTCCTGCAGATACAACTGTAGTAACAGCACCCAAATATATCAGGTAGCTCCTGCAGATACAACTGTAGTAACAGCACCCAAACACATCAGGTAGCTCCTGCAGATACAACTGTAGTAACAGCACCCAAACACATCAGGTAGCTCCTGCAGATACAACTGTAGTAACAGCACCAAACATATCAGGTAGCTCCTGCAGATACAGCTGTAGTAACAGCACCCAAACACATCAGGTAGCTCCTGCAGATACAACTGTAGTAACAGCACCCAAACACATCTGATGCTCTAATATTTGAACCACCTCTTATCCTACCTCAGTGACAATAAAATCAAAGGTTTATCCATCCGCAATACAACAACAAGACAAACTATATATATCTTTAGTAGATGTACGCACCTGTAAATGAACGATTGACATCTACTGTGCCATTACCGGTAGGGTCAAAGGTCAGGCTGTCACCTTCAGTTCCTCCAATCCTCAGATAGCATGGAGACAAGCCTTTAGCCAGTGCCTGAACTTTTTGAGAGCTGGAGGTAAAGCAATAGCGTGATACAGGACATACGTCATAAATAATTGAGCAGGTTTATATGTGCTATACCGCATGCCTTGGTTACCTATCCAAAGAGAATACTATTTATCTAAATAAATTAACGAACAACAGAAGTAGCATCATGCATTTATTATATATTTATATTTTTTTTCTGTGATAAACGGCTTGGAAATCATTTTTATTGTAGACATCTGCTTTGCTAGTTTGAACTATGCCGTTACCAAAATACAAGAATACAAAATATCAATTTCAAATGAAAGGAATCTACAATAGCTCGATTAAAACAATTATGTCTGTTTCATATCAATTATGTGCATGAATAAAACTAGGAATATGATGTGTCCAAATCTCAGCTATAAGTGTGAATACAAATGATGGATTTCAAATCAAGGAATCTTCAATAACTTGATATCTATTGTCATCTATGGCAATGACCTTCACTGACTTACCTGAAGTCCAATCCTTTCCAGTGTTGTGGGGTCGGCAGGAGACTGGAGTCAAGTGTGACGCCCACAAATAGTTCATCAATAAATGACACTGCTTGTGTTGTGGACACCGTGACACTGACATTCACTGCTCCCGATGATGTGGAGGACATGAAGGTTGTGACCAGGAGGAGCACTGACAGTGTTACCTTCATTGTCTCTGGCTTGTCTTATCTGACTGAATGTCACACATAGTCTATATTCATGTGAGGTGGTCTCATATAGACTGTGTTGTGTCGGTATTGAGGCATATCGTGTTGTGTAAAAAAAATTACACATTATGTTGTGTCATCATTGACACATATTCTGTTGTAACGTCAAAAAAACATATCGTGTTTTGTCGTCATTGATAAATATCGTGTTGTGTTGACATTGAGGCTTATCGTGTTGTGTCGCCATTGATACAAATGTTTTGGGTCGACATTGATACAACTTGTGTGCATATATTAAATCATATTGTGTCCGTGTCGACAAATATGTCTTCGAAATTGATGTCCGAACGAATTACCAGTATGGCATGATAGTAAGTGACAACAGTGCTTGGAAACACCTGCATAAGTGCTTAAGTACACACTTGCGTCCCCTACATTACATGATCATGCGACCCGTGAAGATCCGGGGTAGAATAGGTCTTCAGCATCCCATGCTTGCCGTAAAAGGGGACTATGCTTGTCGTAAAAGGCGACCAACGTGATCGGGTGGACTCGAATATTTACAGACCGCTGTCATATAGTTGGAATATTGCTGAGTGCGGCGTTAAACAACAAACCAAACAACATGAACATGCATTAATGTGTCGTTTGTCGTTCTTTACAATGAAGAGCAAATTGCAAGTTTTAGTTCTAGTTCATTTGTTCTAAGCATACTTCGAGCAACAACGGTGCACAAAGAGACATGTAAGGGAAAATGTCATTACATTTTATGCATGAATTGGTTTAGCAAATAGATTGTACAGATGCGCGTGTGGACATTAATGTGCACCATCATTAATGGACTGAAATTTTATGTCAAATCTGTCATTAATTATCTCTTTTAAAGGTCAAGAATAATATATAATATTTAGACATAACACACACTATATATTAGTGATGGTTTATGTAACTCTGTGTTCTAATCTCAATTACTGATAGCAATGTGGGCTGGTTATTCCCACTTTAATAGACAGCTTGTGAGTAAAGGCATGTTGATGCCTTCAGTTATCGGTCTTTAATATTGCTGCTGAGGACGGTGTTAAAGAACAGACAACAGCAACAATATTACATCAGTGTTTTTTAAAGTGAGCAATACACAAGATGAGTATTCAGCTTAGACATTGTCAAATGCTGCAGTATCTATCATTTTACGTGCCGTCCTGAGACAACTTTTTTGTCCTATACACGGCATTGCCATTACGCCTCATATAATGTACACGTAGCTGTCTGAATGGCCAGTCTCTGTCATTCAGGACCCTTAAAAGACGGCTGGTTAGCCTGTACTGATATCATGACGTCATACATTGACGCTCTTCATAATTCCTGTAACTATACATATAGTATGACGGTGGTTGCAAGATAGATTTTATTGTGACACACACAAAGTTCACCAGGTGGTCAGCCAGGTTTGAGACCTTGATCGTACGATCTCAGTTTATTATGACAGGAGTTCTATTTACCTTAAGGACAGTCGTTTTACTAAAAGGTTTACAAAATTACCAGTGAAAGACTGATTTTAACATACATGCATGAATTTATCTGAGAACATATTGTAAATTTAGTGCATGAGTTCCAAACACACAGGAGTGGCTAATAGATTGCTGGCAGTTGTATAACATACGTGTTGTATAACAGTTGTTAATAGCAGTTGTATAACATACGTGTGTCGACCTTGTTGTGTCTGGTTTTCTTGACATGGATTTCTGCTTTGTCGACAGAACGTGTGAAGTTGACTATCGAAATAGGTCAACAATTTTTCTGTTATCGTAAGTTGTAAATGGTATTTGCTGAAAGCGCTGTTTCTCTGTGCTTGAGACTAGGGCGTAACCGTGGAAGTCCGTGATGACAATGCTCCGCCATCTTGTATACTCAATCTTCTTATGCACTGTCCTTCATGGTGCAGATGCTGACATCTACATCAACACACAGGCTGCCGTCAACAAAGTCCATGATAAATATGTGGGTGTGACACTCGACTCCAGTGTTCTTGGTTTTGTTGTAAGTGGACTTAACCTGACGCGAGGATTTGTAAGTGAAACCATTGTATGTGTATATTGTGTCATTTCTTACAAAATCAATAGCTAAATAATAAATTGAAAACGACACAGTTTCACATGTTTGAAGGTACGCGTAAACTTTAGTGAGTTAGTTGGTTGATAGGTCTTTATGTAGATATGTCTGTAGGTCTGTAGGCAGGTAGGTAGGTAGAGAGGTGTGTAGAGAGGTAGGTAGATGACTTGCCACTTGTAAATTCCAGCAATACGAAATCACGGAAGAGCGATGATAGGATTTGCATATTTTACCAATGAAGGAACATAAACCTAATACCGAACATTAATGGCGTTGAATATCATAACTTTGATCAAACACCTTTTGAGCAACAGTCATATGTATGGCTTTCTTACTACTGTTCATAGGAAGAGTATGTTACAACACATACACAATAACAGACATGAGCTTGGAACTATGTATACTAATTCTCTAATTTACATGGTCACATTGTTACACCTTTGGAAAGCCATTATTGTTGGTACATGCGGCAACACAATACGTTACACAGAAGTGTAACGGCAGGCAGACTTATCCCCGCCCCGAGTGACGGTTACACAGCAGTGTATCGGCAGGCACACTAACCCTCGCCCCGCACGCGGGTTACACAGCAGTGTTACGGCAGGCACACCAATCCTCGCACCGCATGCGGGTTACACAGCAGTGTTACGGCAGGCAGACTAACCCTTGCCCCGCATGCGGGTTACACAGCAGTGTTACGGCAGGCACACCAATCCTCGCACCGCATGCGGGTTACACAACACTGTAACGGCAGGCGGACAAACCCTCGCCCCGCATGGTGGTTGATTGTATTTCCTCAAGCCGACGTCAGTGTTTGTAGAACTGCTGTTTGATCAAACTCTGTTCATCTCATTGATCAGTCATGAAATATTACCCAGGAACAGTTACGTGGGGACAGATGAACTGATATGTCCTCAACCTCCCCATTCTCTCCTAAATGGTTTGCTTATTCCTTATCACTTGTAGAGCCTCTGTTCTGAGAGCTGGTGGTCCGTGGTTCGATCTCCAGACTGTGTCGTGCCAAAACATATTGAAAGATGGTATTTGTTGTTACCGTGTCTGGCGCTCGGCAAAGTACATGGTACATGTATGTTAATTTCGTCTGTATTCTCTTATTACGGGACATGTTTGTGTTCTTTGAAACATATGAGAGCTGTTAATGTTTACGACTTCGGTGAAACCCACGAGCACGGGTATGGTGCTGACAAACCTAGAAACATAATCAGGGTGAACCGGGACTTGAACCCACAATCATAGGTTTCTGGCGTGCCCAAGGGACGCAACTCTGCACAGCGAATCGCGGCGCCTTAGACGTCTGTTCCACACGTCCCGTCAAATCTCATACACAATGTCACTGGAAGTCGTCCAACAGGCAGTTAATGTCATATCAGATACATCTTTCAATGACAACAACATTTTCTCGGATCATGTATTCTCTTAACACCATCACGAACAGTCATTTAGGGGCCAAACGTCGCAAGAAATACAACGATCTGGACATATTTATAGATAGTAAAGGTAGCAAATTAGCGAAAACAGTCCTACTTTTTTTTTCATGATAAGTTTATTATCTAGGCACACTACAGCCAGTTCCAGACAGTCAGCGCCATAGTCGTAGCAGGTCAAGCTCATAACTCTAAATATGGTACAGGTGTTTAGTCCGATTCGGTTCCTCGTGTTGCTATGGATACCAACGTTCACCGCATCGCAGCAACTTCAAGTACATGTGACAGTTTCTACTGACAACGTTGTGCAGGAGGTTGACGACATGTTTGTTGGAGTGACCATTGACAGCTATATCTTGCGGGCAGGGTTTGAAAGACACCATCTCAGGTTAGATATATGTCCCGCGTTATAAATAGCTGACCCTATGTGACTTTCACAAACAAGCATAGGTTCTGTTTCCAAAATCAATCTGCTTTACTGTTGTAAACATCGTTGATCATGGCAGTCATTGAGACCAGGGTCATAGTTGTGTCGCTAAGATAAATACATGTATCATATGTAAATGGGTATGTTTGATTTTACGCCGCAATTTACAGCATTTCAGTGATACAACAGAGTGTGAGTTTAATGTGGGAGGAAAGCCCGAAGCGATGCAGGTCTCAGACGTTTACCACTTTGGTGCAACCCGCGAGCACAGGTATGGTGCTGACAAACCTAGAAACATAATCGGGGCGAACCAGGATTCGAACCCACAATCATAGGTTTCTGGCGTGCCCAAGGGACGCAACTCTGCACAGCGAATCGCGGCGCCTTAGACGAATGGGCCACCCTAGCCCCCAGTAAAGAAACGAACACGAATTAAATTATCACAGCCGATCCCACCTGGAATCCAAGTTTATGGCGCACCCAAGGGAGGCAACTATGTACAGCGAATTGGGACGAACATGGCCTCTAAACATATCATCAGAAATATGTATAATAAACTGTTTTTAAGATTGCTTTATCAATATCACTGAGTGAGGGGTGCTTCGGGCCACATGCACGTTATACTATGAACGCATTATACAAAAGTCATCATTGGCAGACCTTCGAAACAGTACCAAGCATGATAGGAGAGTGAGTATGGTTTGACGTGGCTTTCAGCAATATTACAGCAATATCAGGGCTTCACACATTGAACCAATGTGGAGAATCGAACCTGGGTCTTCGGCGTGACGATGGTCCGCTTTCACCACAACTCTACCTAGCCCACGGCCTAATTCCTATGTGTGTGTTCTCAGGTCCCTCTGTACTACTTACATTATAATTAGGGGCGGCCGAGTAGCCTAGTGGTTAAAGCGTTCGCTCGTCACGCTGAAGACCCGGGTTCGATTCCCTACACAGGTGCAATGTGTGAAGTCGATTTCACGGTGTCTCCCGCCGTGCTTTTGCTGGAATATGTCTAAAAGCGGCGTAAAACCATACTCACTCACAACATTATGATTATTTTCTGTCTTTTTTAAAAACAAATTTTCCATCAATTTTCGTTTGTTTGTTTTTGTTTAACGCCACACAACAATTTTCCAGCTATATGACGACGGTCTGTAATTAACCGAGTCTGGACCAGACATCCAGTGATTGACATCATGAGCATCGGACTGCACAGTGTGGATACAATTACATGTATCAATCAAGTCAGCATGTCTGACCCACTCGATCCCATCACAGGTATGAAACACGATAAGATTAGGTGACTGTATATTTTTCCTAGCTTTTACCTCTCAGCAAACACGTCTGATATAATTTACATCTGTATCATTGTACAGTTCACCAAATCTCCAGAAGCTTGTGAAAGAACTCGTTCCCTCATATCTGAGGGTCGGGGGAACCTCGGCTGACCATGTCGTGTTTGATCCCCATGCCACACAGCATAGCTCCAACGCAGCATCGCCGTTCAAACTATTGGGTGAGTAACCTGTAGCTGTTTAAGAATTGTCGGCCTCAAAAGTTCCTGAAGAAATGAGTAAGAAGATTCGTATCAATCAATCTTTATTCATGGTACTTATGAGGCCAAAGGCCTATAGTACATTGTCTGGGGCGTGTTACAAATTCATACATTTTCTTAGTTTCATAGCATGATAAATGAACATTGATGCATTTCTAATAGTTTCTGTACAATCACAAGTCATTAATTTACAAAATTTGTTACCGATTGGGTTACGGTAGAAATAGTTATTTAGATATTTTGCTCGTAAATCTTTATACACTGGACATACATATAAAAAGTGATATTCATCTTCAATACAATCAGTTTTACAAATCCTACAAAGTCTATGTTCTCTTGTAATACCTTCATATCTGCCTGTTTCAATAAATAGATCATGTGGGCCAAAACGAAATCGAGAAAGAGAAATTTACACTTAATAGATAAGGTTCTAGTATAATAGTAGTCTTAAATGTAGTGTAGTAATTTGCTTTTCTAGAACTGGACAAAGAACCATGCCATTTTGGGATGTACATATATTTTAAGGTCTGTGTCAAACGGTGGAAGAAATGCTGTGGCATATCTATATGTTGCTGTAACCAAATATAACCATATCCACTTTCGTATAACATGTTTTTGACTTTTGTTGCCCGATTTTGCTTCCCATTGCTATCGTAGAGAAGCATCATATTATAACATTTTCTAGGGTATCTTGAAGATGGCATATTTAATAGCTTGACCTAGTATTTTATAAGATTTAAATAACTATTCGTATCATTAACAATATACTTAATCATTGAAGGAGACATGACGATTTCTGTTACCTGTGTCCTCTGTAGTAAAATACCTTATTGTCCTCGCCACTGAACATAGAATCACGAAATATCGCAATGAGTAGTTGACGAAGATAGCTGCATGTGTGCTAATAATTATAACGTGAAACAAGAACTTCAGCCAATAAGGAGTATTACTTATAGTCAAGACAAAAAATGCAAAGTGATTTTTTTAAAGAAATAACACTACGACATTTGTAAGACTGTGATAAACTATATAGTTACGATCGTAAAGCTACGAATGCCTTGTGGAAAGGGACACCGATCCAGACTGCAGTGCAAACTCACGCTTGCAATGACATTCAAACACATATAACGCTGTCAATGCCATAGATAAGTCGGTTAGATTTCAATATGTGCATTTGACACGATGTTATAGCAATTTTGTCAACAACATCTGATAATCATATCGGTACACTGCCTGAATACAATAAACTTGGATGATTTGACTCTTCAACAAATAAGAGACCGCCTCCGTGGTCTAGTGGTAGAGCGTCCGCCCGGAGAGCGGAAGGTCCGGGGTTCGATCCCTGGCCGCGTCATACCAAAAGACGTTCAAAGATGGTACTTGTTGTTACCCGGTCTGGCGCTCGGCATTAAGGGGCTAAAACAAGGACTGGTCGGCTCGGAGTCAGTATACTGTGTCTGAGTCGGGTATTCACGTTAAACTGCGGCATGGTATCTCAGTGGGCTAGCACTATAAATCAGCATCACACACGTGCATGCACGTCGCTATGTAAGTGCAATAATATTGGACGCGACGTTAAACCCAATTTCATCTCACCTCACCTCACCTCAACAAATAAGAACCAGTCATAGACAGTTGTGGTACAATAGTCTGTCTCAATGCGAAGAATAAACTTGATATCACCGTGCGCCATTGTGTCACCTGTTCCGGTTATGTACTGAGCATGTAATGTACAATTAATGGAAGTCAAGTCAAGGAGTATTTTGATGACATTTTTGTGTCCTCGCTTTATGCATTGATCCCTTCAGATATTTGTACTTCATCTTGCAGCTGAAGACTGGGATATTCTTAACAAGTTTGTTCATAACACGGGGGTGAAGCTTATATTCGACCTTAATATTTTACTGCGGAAGCAAGGAAAATGGGACCCATCGAATGCTGAATTGTTGCTTAAATACTCGTCACAGAAAGGCTACCATATTGCTGGATTCGAACTGGGAAATGGTAGGTTACGTCTTCAGAAGTAGCAGCATGTCTGTCACGTTGGGAGACCGCCTCCGTGGTCTAGTGGTAGAGCGTCCGCCCGGAGAGCGGAAGGTCCGGGATTCGATCCCCGACCGCGTCATACCAAAAGACGTTAAAAGATGGTACTTGTTGTTACCCTGTCTGACGCTCGGCATTAAGGGGCTAAAACAAGGACTGGTCGGCTCGGAGTCAGTATACTGTGTCTGAGTGGGGTATTCATGTTAATCTGCGGCATTGTATCTCAGTGAGCTAGCACTATAAATCGGCATCAGTCCGGACTAGTACAAGCAGCCACACACACACACACACACACACACACACACACACACACACACACACACACACACACGTGCATGCACGTCGCTATATAAGTGCAACTATCTTGGACGCGACGTTAAACCCCATTTCACCTCACCTGACACGTTGTGCTATTTCCCAGTAGGGACGGTGGGATAGTCTAGTGGTTAAAACGTTGTCGCTCGTCAAGCCGAAGTCCCGGGTTCGATTCGCGACATGGTCACAACGTGTGAAGCCCGCCGTGATATTGATGGAATATTGCTAAAATCGGCGTACAAACTCGACCCGTGAAGATATGGTTTAGAATTGGCGACTAACGGGATCGGGTGGTGTGGCTCGCTGACTTAGTAGATGCATGTCAGCGTATCCTAATTGCGTAGATCGATGCTCATGAAGTCAATCACTGGTTTTTCGGTCCAGACTTGATTATTTACAGCCGACTGGATTATTGCAGAGTGCGGCCTTAATCAATCAAACAAAACACTTACTCACTCACCAATTGTTAGTAAAATGGTCAGACACAGCTTAATCCAAATCCTTACAATCTATAATAATGAGTGAGTGAGTTGGGTTTAACGCCGCTTTTAACAGTATTCCAGTTATATCGCGGCGTGTCAGTTTAATGTGGGAGGAAAGCCCGAAGTGATGCAGGTCTCAGACGTTTACCACTTCGGTGAAACCCACGAGCACGGGTATGGTGCTGACAAACCTAGTAACATAATCGGGGCGAACCGGGATTCGAACCCACAATCATAGGTTTCTGGCGTGCCCAAGGGACGCAACTCTGCACAGCGAATCGCGGCGCCTTAGACGACTTGGCTACCCGTGCCCCCACAATCTACAATAAATAAGAAAGGAACAACTATAAATCTTTAGAAACATTCACTTCACAATGCCTATAGAATTACTAGTATATAAGTGGCAATGCATTCTGTATGATATTTATGCTGAGAACTGTTATACAAGGTCGTGTAAACCTTCTCCCAATAACAAACTGATGAAAAAAAGTGTTACTGTACATGACTGTACACAATGAAGAACTACGCAGGGTCATATATTAACGGCCACATGCGACAGTACATAGTTGGAACAGCAATACAAAATTTGGTTTGTTGTCGAACTCTACTGCAACAATAGGATGAAGCTATAATCAAGAACCCAAAGCACCAGGGCGAGTAAGACGACGTCCATCTGCTTCCACTGTTAGCTTGTACGTATCTGCGTTTTGCCTAGAACCAAATGTGTTTCATCACAACGCAAACATCACATTATCGGACGCCCAACTCGCCAATGACTTTGCACAGCTGAAGCGGGTCCTCCAAGGTACGTCGTATAAGTCCAGCCTCATCGTAGGACCAGATGTGACTGTCACTCATGCATCTGGGGTAAAAGGGTAAGTGTCTCAGTTTTACACTGGTGGTTACATGGCAGAAGACGTTATATCACGTCGTGGGTGAAAGCATCTTCCCGAGGCAAATGAGTTAACTGACTATAAAAGTCCAGTTTCCACCCTTGCCGAACTTGGCTGGTGTTATGGAGTTACATTTTGGCTGGACTAACGAGTCTCTGCATAGTCCAATCAAAACCGTGCTCCGAAATCGAAACACGGTTCGTAAATACGGCCGATTGCAGGATTTGCAAAACATGTGCACCGCTAACTCGTTGTCAACAGAAATTTTCTAAAGATTTTCATGTTTTTAATCAAGGTGCTCACGTGATGTGATCGATTCGCGATGTAAGACTCGTTTTATCACAATATACAGATCTTGATTATCCATCAGATCCTCTTGACTGGGCGCCCCCGTTTTGTTTGAAGCAAATGCAAGTGATACATGAGGTGGAATCTGATTGGTCCATAGGAGAGGGGCAGAAGGGACATAACTCGTAATAGCCACTGGTGGCGCTGCGATCGAGCCCAGGAATTCAAGCGTAGTTCGGCAAGGGTGGAAACTAGGCTTTTAAAGTCAATTAACTCTCTTGCATTAGGAAGATGGGGTGAAACGTGAAGTTTTTACCTTTGTCTGACAATCCATATGGTGTCACTGAATAATAATCAGAATCCTTATTATAATAAAATTCGTAGTCTCCTTTTCCTGTATTAAATGACAGATCCGTGTTTGTCTCAAGCTGGTTGACTGCATTTTGTCTTGTAATTTTAATACATTCATGAAAGTGTCCGGAAACAGAATACACAGTCAACATAGGCACAATGCTCCCTTGCTATGCCAACGGTATCCAGCGACTAATCTGTCAGCAGGCATACAAATATATACCCGGAGAACACAATCCCAATGTAATTGCTACGAGCATGTTAGACCTGGGATGTGGTAACGCCTCCATACAGAGTTTCTGATTATTTGTGTGTTGCAGATTTTTGTCTCATGGTGGGGCAAGCGCGGTTGATGTCGTGAGCTTCCATCAGTAAGTAAGGGAACATACAGGAACAAACTCTCCCTTTCACTTTCTATCAAATTCCATCTAGTATATACCACTAAATAGGCAAACTCGCAAACTCTGAAGCATCACTTACTCTTAAGCATCAATCATGACTTTCCACGAGATGGTCAATAATTCCTCAATTCCATCAATAATTATTGTTAGGAGTAGTAGTTATGTTGTAGTCGTAAAGTAGTAGTAGTAGTAGTAGTCGTAGTAGTGTTGTAATCGTTTGTCATTGGTTTCCAGCTATTACGTCAATGGTGAAACCTCGAAGGTTTCTGATTTCTCACATCCTGCAACACTTGACAGTCTTGTAGGACTGGTAAAGAGCGCTATTGCCGCCGTGCATGCTGTTGCGCCAGGAAAGCCAGTATGGCTGGGGGAGACAGCATCAGCTTACAAGGGAGGCACCCCCAACGCCTCTGATAGATACGCCTCCGGTTTCCTGTAAGTGAGTGAGTGAGTGACCTGGGTTAAATGTGGGTTTGAAACGAATATCAGTAAGATCAGGGCATTCCTGCACGTTATCCACCACATTCGAAAATGCTGACGCAAGCAAATGAAATCACCAAAGCCGTTTCCAACGTCAGAGGATATCTCAATTGTGATCCCAACTATATTAAATCCGTTGGACTATTCCGACACTGCCAAGCCATACAATCTACCATTTTCCGTATATTTCAAGATTCTTTATTCAGTATTTTGGGCCTAGAGTTCAATTACAATTACAATAATTGCTGCGTCACGTGATGTCAGGAAAATAAATACAAGTAGTCTTTTTTCACATCGAATACATGATTTAAGTATAAGGCCAAAGCCTTTACAATGTCGATATTTTTGGAGTTAAGTAGATTACATAAACTGTGATTATCATGATGGACATTGGATAACCAAGGCAATTAGTGGTTTCTGACAGAAGAATATTTTGAACATAAAAACAAAACATGAAATTCATCCTCTAATTGCCTCCCTTTACAGTGGGTACATAGATATAAACTCAAGTCTTCATTTTTATGTTTTGACTTTCGTAGCATGTTAATCTTAAATCATTGTTTTGGATATGGACATTGATTCATATGTAGCAATCTCAACCAGTATTTTAGTACGGTTATTTTGCTAAACACGAACATATCTAATCGCCCAGTTTCACCAAGAATAGCTTTATTAGAGGCATATTTTCCGATACAAAGATAGTTTTTAAAATAGGACATATGTACTTTTTCTATACGTTCATAAATTTTGCCCCCCAGATTTCAGCCCCATAAAGTAATAAAGGAGCAATCTGACAATCAAACATTGTACAAGCTGTTTCGAATGTTATATAGCTAGTTCTTTTGAAAGCATGATAAATGGCTCTAGTGGCATTAGAAGCCTGTGATGCTAGGCTTTTACAGGCCATTGGCCAGATTAGCCTTGAGGAGAAAAATACTCCAAGATACTTGTAGTAAGTGACAAGTTTGACATTTATAGAACCATAGGACCATTTTTCATTTTTTCGTATAATACCACCGTTTCGGAATACACTTTTTTTTGTTTTATCAAGATTCACACTTAGGCCCCAGGTAATGCAAAATGTTCTTAAGATATCTAATTGTCTTTGTGACCAATAACTGTATATGAGAACATAGTCACATCGTCGGCAAAAAGTAGTAGCATAATATCTTCAATACTTTCTGAAACAAACACACCATGACAGCACGTTTTGTAAATGTCAGTTACAAGCTCATTAATAAAGAAGATAAACAGAAGTGGGCTTAAGATACAGCCTTGTCTTACACCGGATGTAGTTGTAAACAAATCTGTTTTACCTTTGTCTGTTTTTACACAAGCCTTAACAGCAGAATACATACTAGCTAAGACATTATACAACTTGCCATGGCAACCTTTTTGTAAGAGCATATATAATAGTTGTTTCCTTTCCACAAAGTCAAAGGCTTTCTTGAAATCAATGAAAGCACAATAAAATCGCCCCCCTCGCTTTGTTAAATATTTAGTACAAAGGGCCTGGAGTGTGAAAATGGTGTCCTCGCTTTATGCATTGATCCCTTCAGATATTTGTACTTCATCTTGCAGCTGAAGACTGGGATATTCTTAACAAGTTTGTTCATAACACGGGGGTGAAGCTTATATTCGACCTTAATATTTTACTGCTGAAGCAAGGAAAGTGGGACCAATCGAATGCTGAATTGTTGCTTAAATACTCGTCACAGAAAGGCTACCATATTGCTGGATTCGAACTGGGAAATGGTAGGTTACGTCTTCAGAAGTAGCAGCATGTCTGTCACGTTGGGAGACCGCCTCCGTGGTCTAGTGGTAGAGCGTCCGCCCGGAGAGCGGAAGGTCCGGGATTCGATCCCCGACCGCGTCATACCAAAAGACGTTAAAAGATGGTACTTGTTGTTACCCTGTCTGACGCTCGGCATTAAGGGGCTAAAACAAGGACTGGTCGGCTCGGAGTCAGTATACTGTGTCTGAGTGGGGTATTCATGTTAATCTGCGGCATTGTATCTCAGTGAGCTAGCACTATAAATCGGCATCAGTCCGGACTAGTACAAGCAGCCACACACACACACACACACACACACACACACACACACACACACACGTGCATGCACGTCGCTATATAAGAAAGGAACAACTATAAATCTTTAGAAACATTCACTTCACAATGCCTATAGAATTACTAGTATATAAGTGGCAATGCATTCTGTATGATATTTATGCTGAGAACTGTTATACAAGGTCGTGTAAACCTTCTCCCAATAACAAACTGATGAAAAAAAGTGTTACTGTACATGACTGTACACAATGAAGAACTACGCAGGGTCATATATTAACGGCCACATGCGACAGTACATAGTTGGAACAGCAATACAAAATTTGGTTTGTTGTCGAACTCTACTGCAACAATAGGATGAAGCTATAATCAAGAACCCAAAGCACCAGGGCGAGTAAGACGACGTCCATCTGCTTCCACTGTTAGCTTGTACGTATCTGCGTTTTGCCTAGAACCAAATGTGTTTCATCACAACGCAAACATCACATTATCGGACGCCCAACTCGCCAATGACTTTGCACAGCTGAAGCGGGTCCTCCAAGGTACGTCGTATAAGTCCAGCCTCATCGTAGGACCAGATGTGACTGTCACGCATGCATCTGGGGTAAAAGGGTAAGTGTCTCAGTTTTACACTGGTGGTTACATGGCAGAAGACGTTATATCACGTCGTGGGTGAAAGCATCTTCCCGAGGCAAATGAGTTAACTGACTATAAAAGTCCAGTTTCCACCCTTGCCGAACTTGGCTGGTGTTATGGAGTTACATTTTGGCTGGACTCACGAGTCTCTGCATAGTCCAATCAAAACCGTGCTCCGAAATCGAAACACGGTTCGTAAATACGGCCGATTGCAGGATTTGCAAAACATGTGCACCGCTAACTCGTTGTCAACAGAAATTTTCATGTTTTTAATCAAGGTGCTCACGTGATGTGATCGATTCGCGATGTAAGACTCGTTTTATCACAATATACAGATCTTGATTATCCATCAGATCCTCTTGACTGGGCGCCCCCGTTTTGTTTGAAGCAAATGCAAGTGATACGTGAGGTGGAATCTGATTGGTCCATAGGAGAGGGGCAGAAGGGACATAACTCGTAATAGCCACTGGTGGCGCTGCGATCGAGCCCAGGAATTCCAGCGTAGTTCGGCAAGGGTGGAAACTAGGCTTTTAAAGTCAATTAACTCTCTTGCATTAGGAAGATGGGGTGAAACGTGAAGTTTTTACCTTTGTCTGACAATCCATATGGTGTCACTGAATAATAATCAGAATCCTTATTATAATAAAATTCGTAGTCTCCTTTTCCTGTATTAAATGACAGATCCGTGTTTGTCTCAAGCTGGTTGACTGCATTTTGTCTTGTAATTTTAATACATTCATGAAAGTGTCCGGAAACAGAATACACAGTCAACATAGGCACAATGCTCCCTTGCTATGCCAACGGTATCCAGCGACTAATCTGTCAGCAGGCATACAAATATATACCCGGAGAACACAATCCCAATGTAATTGCTACGAGCATGTTAGACCTGGGATGTGGTAACGCCTCCATACAGAGTTTCTGATTATTTGTGTGTTGCAGATTTTTGTCTCATGGTGGGGCAAGCGCGGTTGATGTCGTGAGCTTCCATCAGTAAGTAAGGGAACATACAGGAACAAACTCTCCCTTTCACTTTCTATCAAATTCCATCTAGTATATACCACTAAATAGGCAAACTCGCAAACTCTGAAGCATCACTTACTCTTAAGCATCAATCATGACTTTCCACGAGATGGTCAATAATTCCTCAATTCCATCAATAATTATTGTTAGGAGTAGTAGTTATGTTGTAGTCGTAAAGTAGTAGTAGTAGTAGTAGTCGTAGTAGTGTTGTAATCGTTTGTCATTGGTTTCCAGCTATTACGTCAATGGTGAAACCTCGAAGGTTTCTGATTTCTCACATCCTGCAACACTTGACAGTCTTGTAGGACTGGTAAAGAGCGCTATTGCCGCCGTGCATGCTGTTGCGCCAGGAAAGCCAGTATGGCTGGGGGAGACAGCATCAGCTTACAAGGGAGGCACCCCCAACGCCTCTGATAGATACGCCTCCGGTTTCCTGTAAGTGAGTGAGTGAGTGACCTGGGTTAAATGTGGGTTTGAAACGAATATCAGTAAGATCAGGGCATTCCTGCACGTTATCCACCACATTCGAAAATGCTGACGCAAGCAAATGAAATCACCAAAGCCGTTTCCAACGTCAGAGGATATCTCAATTGTGATCCCAACTATATTAAATCCGTTGGACTATTCCGACACTGCCAAGCCATACAATCTACCATTTTCCGTATATTTCAAGATTCTTTATTCAGTATTTTGGGCCTAGAGTTCAATTACAATTACAATAATTGCTGCGTCACGTGATGTCAGGAAAATAAATACAAGTAGTCTTTTTTCACATCGAATACATGATTTAAGTATAAGGCCAAAGCCTTTACAATGTCGATATTTTTGGAGTTAAGTAGATTACATAAACTGTGATTATCATGATGGACATTGGATAACCAAGGCAATTAGTGGTTTCTGACAGAAGAATATTTTGAACATAAAAACAAAACATGAAATTCATCCTCTAATTGCCTCCCTTTACAGTGGGTACATAGATATAAACTCAAGTCTTCATTTTTATGTTTTGACTTTCGTAGCATGTTAATCTTAAATCATTGTTTTGGATATCGACATGGATTCATATGTAGCAATCTCAACCAGTATTTTAGTACGGTTATTTTGCTAAACACGAACATATCTAATCGCCCAGTTTCACCAAGAATAGCTTCATTAGAGGCATATTTTCCGATACAAAGATAGTTTTTAAAATAGGACATATGTACTTTTTCTATACGTTCATAAATTTTGCCCCCCAGATTTCAGCCCCATAAAGTAATAAAGGAGCAATCTGACAATCAAACATTGTACAAGCTGTTTCGAATGTTATATAGCTAGTTCTTTTGAAAGCATGATAAATGGCTCTAGTGGCATTAGAAGCCTGTGATGCTAGGCTTTTACAGGCCATTGGCCAGATTAGCCTTGAGGAGAAAAATACTCCAAGATACTTGTAGTAAGTGACAAGTTTGACATTTATAGAACCATAGGACCATTTTTCATTTTTTCGTATAATACCACCGTTTCGGAATACACTTTTTTTTGTTTTATCAAGATTCACACTTAGGCCCCAGGTAATGCAAAATGTTCTTAAGATATCTAATTGTCTTTGTGACCAATAACTGTATATGAGAACATAGTCACATCGTCGGCAAAAAGTAGTAGCATAATATCTTCAATACTTTCTGAAACAAACACACCATGACAGCACGTTTTGTAAATGTCAGTTACAAGCTCATTAATAAAGAAGATAAACAGAAGTGGGCTTAAGATACAGCCTTGTCTTACACCGGATGTAGTTGTAAACAAATCTGTTTTACCTTTGTCTGTTTTTACACAAGCCTTAAC